AAAGAACTGATCCTTTTCTTACAAACAAATGGCATTAATTACAGGTGGTTAACCCCAGAAGGCGTCACTTTCAAGCTCAACGATAAAAAAGAAAAGATGGACTCTGTTTTTAAAGCACGCGAATTTCTGTGGACACAGCTCGGGGAACCAGAAGAGGGAAAAGAGGAGGAAGAAGAAAGCAAATCTGATGGTGAGTTGGGCTCAGGGTCTTCAGATGAGGACTCCCCCTCCGAAAAGAGGGCAGCCGCCCCCAAACGCCCATATAAACTGAGGATTAGAAAAGATAAGAATAAATAAGGGCGAAGGACTCTGATTTGTGCCTGAAAAAATGTTGAAATAACTTGGGGATGCTCTGGAAATTTCTTTAAACAGTTAAAGGGATGGTTAAACAACAATTAATTTAGCATAATCAACTAAATTCATTGTATTTTTAGTAGTTTTTTATGAATAGCATGGTGTTAAGCTGATGTATGATCTCCTACTCTTGGGTTTTTAGTTAGTTGTGGGTCTTTTTTCTTTCTCCCTCTAGATGTAGTTCCCTTCCCCATATTTTCTGTTGCAGTTTTGTAGTCTTTAAAAAAAAACCCCAATAAAAACCTCCCCCTAGGGGGATGCAAAAAAGAAAAAGAAAGAAAGAAAAGAAACGTCTTCGGACAGGACTGGCTCTTCAGCTTGGAAACGGAGATGAGCACCACATCCCTAGAGTTGGATTTGACTGGCTTTCGAGCAAGGGAAACCTTTAACTTTACCTAACTCAGTTTAGGATTGCATTGTAAAAAGGGTTTCTTTGAAGTTGGGGAAAAAGCATGCAAAGTACACAATAATGTTGTTCACAATACTAGACATAGAGCAAACAAAATACTGGATTACTTTTTTACAGTAAAGCAATGAAATTACCTGGAATAAAACAGAGTTGACACAGTCTCCATTTTAATGCCAGTGAGTGATCCTAACCAGAGTTACATTTTGCTTAGAATGGGTGTAATTCTGTTTAGGATTGCACTGATACTAGGCTAGCTGCTCAAACTAGGAAGGCACATGACAGGTGAGACACAAGAGCTCCTTTGGCAAGACTAGCAGATTATTGTAACATTCTGAATAGCTTTCAGAAACAAATATAAACCGTGAGACCTTTTCTAGCTTGTTCATTTGATTTTATACCTTCCTCTTTCACCATTTTTGTTATTATTTTTGCTCTCTCTGTGCTTTGTATTGTCTCAAGGTTCATGTAGCTAGAAAGCTTGGAGAGGTTTCTCTTGGCCTGAATTCAATGAAGTGTTTTTTCCAATCCCTATGCAATTGGAGATGATTGTCTTTGTGGATTCCCTGGCAATATTAAGGGTGAGGTTTCATGCCCAGAAAGACCAACAGCAGAGCATTGCACTGAACAACTCTCCATACACCATTGTGAAGAGTGAAGCTTTCTTATGCCTATCTCAAAAAGGATGCAGACGCACTGGGGGAAAGTGCAAATAATGCATCCAAAATGGAAACAGGCTTGCAGTGCCTTCCCTTTGAAATGAGGCTAAAGCATCTAGAGCTTTTTTGGGTTTTTTTGTTTAGAAAAAGAGGACTGAAGGGTGATATAACAGAAATCTACTACATTATACACGGCACAGAGAAAGCGAATACAGACACATTTTTCAGGCCCTCTCCCATAATACCAGAACTCAGGGTCACACTAGGAAATTGGCAGTAGATTCAAGACAGACCAAGGAAGTACTGCTTCACACAATGGACAGTTGACTTGTGGAACTCACTGCCATGGAATGTGGTCACGTTACTAAGGGCTTATTAGGGATGCCAGCCCCCAGGTGGGACCTGGGGATCCCCTGAAATTACAGCTCATCTCCAGACTACAGAGATAATTCCAATGGAGAAAATTGATACTTTGGAGGGTGGACTCTATGGCATTGTGTCCAAATAAGGTTCCTGTCCTCCCTAGGTTCAATTCTGCAATGTCCAGGAGTTTATCATCCTTGATCTAGCAGCCCCACCCCCCATCCCCTGCCAGTGGGGGGGAGGGGCTTGGCAACCCTAGCTTAGATGGATATAAAAGAGGGATGAACACCTTTACAGCAAATAGGTCTAGCACTGGTTATTAGCTAGGATAGCTGA